CCCCTTGTTGCTGGTAGTTGGCAGTTTGTAGCGTTGCATGGTGGTGACGATATTCACAGTTTCGACAAGATGATTTCATCCGATTAGTGTCCGACCCTCACGGTTCATCATCCATGGCCTTTTCTTCGAGGTCTTGCCGGCGACATTTTGCTCAGAACTGACAAGTGCCGTTTGTTGGCATTATATCTGACATTCACGCGGCCCATGCCAAACCGCATATTAGGTCTGCTTTTAAGAATCATGCTGCTCCCCCAGGCAGTGATCAACTGGATCATGGTTTCATGGCGCATGCTTCCAACGAATACGTGCGATTTTTACTCGAATATGGCTATAAGACATAGGCGAGATGAGCAGCAACCATACTAAAATGTCTTGAGTGCATTTATCATAAATATTTAAGATGATTGCACGTTAAGTGTAAGAAACGCCACCCACAACGAATTACGACAGTGTTTTAAGTCATTCAACCATGTGTTCGATGAAGTCCCAACTTGCTTAGAGTGATCTTATGTTTTTGCACAATCTTTTTTTCGGGGAAGACTGAGCCCGGATATCTGAACTCATTTTTCAACGGCCGAGGGCGGAGACGGGTCTTCCGCTTTGCTTCCACGGACGGTTACGCCCCTTGTTGCTGGTAGTTGGCAGTTTGTAGCGTTGCATGGTGGTGACGATATTCACAGTTTCGACAAGATGATTTCATCCGATTAGTGTCCGACCCTCACGGTTCATCACCCATGGCCTTTTCTTCGAGGTCTTGCCGGCGACATTTTGCTCAGAACTGACAAGTGCCGTTTGTTGGCATCATATCTGACATTCACGCGGCCCATGCCAAACCGCATATTAGGTCTGCTTTTAAGAATCATGCTGCTCCCCCAGGCAGTGATCAACTGGATCATGGTTTCATGGCGCATGCTTCCAACGAATTCGTGCGATTTTTACTCGAATATGGCTATAAGACATAGGCGAGATGAGCAGCAACCATACTAAAATGTCTTGAGTGCATTTATCATAAATATTTAAGATGATTGCGCGTTAAGTGTAAGAAACGCCACCCACAACGAATTACGACAGTGTTTTAAGTCATTCAACCATGCGTTCGATGACGTCCCAACTTGCTTAGAGTGATCTTATGTTTTTGCACAATCTTTTTTTCGGGGAAGACTGAGCCCGGATATCTGAACTCATGAACGCTTATACAGTTCGATGAGAGCTTTCCAATGTTGCTTCCCCGGGGATCTAGCTTCCACATATTTTGAGATCTTAGATTATCTCTAAGGCCCCACCGATAGACAACTATGAACAACTGTGGGGCGAAGTTTTAGTCCAAATCACGAAAAATATGTTTTGGGAACACGGTGCTCCGGGGGCATCAGTTAAGACTATGCACCAAAACGACAGCGACTGATGCTGCAAAGTCCACTGATATGCAATAATGATTCCAGCAAATTAATTGTCATCAGAAAATACGCATATCAAATATTCCATTGCAGCTCGGGGCGAAGAAATCAACTGAATATGAGACACATGAGGCACTGAACATTCTACGTGTATAGTCCTGAACGTGATATTGATAAATATATTGATATAACGTGAAGTGAATTCGTCTGGCTGATCTGGCCGATACATGTACAATATAAACATAAGTCTGAAAACCGCCGCGGCTGTAGGGCCTCTTGCGATATTACACTTCCAGTATATTCCTAAATCGACCTAATTTCACCAAGTAACTTTAAAAGCCATAAGCCACCGCACAACACCGCTTTCGCCCAGACCGGCTCTGAGTTGTAGTATGACGAGGTTATCGCGTGAGTGACGTGAAGTTTGATCACTTGGTTGTGTTTCTGAAATTATTCCAAGAAGATGATGCCCATCAGCATGATGAAGCGAAAACTATGGTACTATATATATATATATATATATATATATATATATATATATATATATATATATATATATGTGTGTGTGTGTGTGTGTGTGTTACTGGCAAGAAGTAACCGGACTGAAGGAACTTTGAACTATACCATCCAAAAAGCTGACGGGATGAATAGAAGAAGGTAAACAGTTTGCGCAAAGCCACGAAGCCACAAAACCTGGCATACGTTCGAACGCCGCCGGATCTCATCATGCAGAGAGAGAACCTCCGCGCAAGGCCGCGACAATAACTCACCTGCACGTGGCGCGTCGCGCGTTTGCCAGATAGCCAGCTGATGCAACACAACTGACGTCACTTTACCTGCTATGATCATGATGCATTATTAAATACGTCGAAGATAGATGGAATGTGTGGCACTTCCGGAATGGAAACTACAGCAGGAACGTGAACCGTCAATCCGCTTTTTATTAGGGTCAGTGTGTCGCTGAGGGCTGTGGACGATATATACAATACGACTTGCATTAGAGTCGTGTGACTGTGCGCCTCAGGACTTGGCAACCAGGGCTGACTCGTGTATGTTGCGTGTCTGAGTGAGTTGTTGTTGGTGCGGTGTCAGTTGGCGTTCTGAATTGCACTGCTGTCACTTTTTGAGGTCCTGTTTTGAAGTCTCTGAAATCTAAGTGAGCCAGTCGCGGCGATTTGTCCGTCACGCGCTATGTTGCAATGGCAAAAGTGTTGAATGTCTGCGGTGTCAATCTGAGCTGGAATGGGCTCAGAAGTGTCGTGTGCTATGGGACAGATAAAATAGAGCTTGATTTAAATGTTTACTTGTTATATACATGTTATATTTACATGTCAACGTGTGGGTGGAGAGTGAGGTGAACTTTGTCATGTCCAAGGAGTATCATGGTGATTTCTTTTCAATCTTTGCAACGAATGACGGTCTGGGATCGCCCAGCTAACGCATAGCAGCCCACCCTGTCTTTCACTGTACTCCCGGCTGTATAGGCACAGCTCAGCCCCGGCTCCGACTCAGTCGGGCGGTTCAGCTTAACTGTGCGCTTGGTGTTGCGGCGCGCACCTGGGACGCATTCAGAGGACGGCGGGGACCAGTCGCTGTGGCGGGGCAATCCCTCCGTTCCGAGTGACAGCAAAGCAGCCTGAGTGATACGGGATACTGCACCTGTGCAGTGTCATATATCATCCGTTTTTTGTGTGTCCGCGCCCACGCCATGACTCCTTCATCCCTCAACCTGGCTGTGTTGTGAGCTATTGTCTCCGGCATGGGCACCTCTTCTTCCTTTGGTGAGGGCGGTATTTGTTCGCGTCTTGTCCTTCACAGTTTCGACACCATCAGCGCGATACTTCTCCACCGCATCAGCTCGAGCCTATCCTATGAAATCTACATTCTCGAAACGTGCCGCAGTTTCCCTATATCCAAGCCCGGTGGCTGCGCCGAGCAATTCAATTACCGCATTGTATCCAGTGTTGCTCTGATAGCAAAATTTGAGAGTGTGCCGTTTACCGCCAGGTCTACCGTTACCTTTCACGCAGTCATCCTTCCCTTACCAGCACGATTACCGTCCCCGTCACTCGATGGAAAGAGTGCTGGCATTTACATACGACCACGTCCTTACTACCAATAGCCGTGAGGAAATTTCGCTGTTGTGCACTTTTGACCTAAGCGAGTGCTTCGATATGCTACACCAGTTAGCTTCTTACTAGACAGAGCACTGAGGGAATCAATTGCTCTCGGTTTTCCACGAATTTAATCATACGCAGAGCGTAAGAGCATCACTAACAAACTGATATATCTCGTATGATCGAATTCATCAGGTTAGATACAAGTGTATATATATATATATATATATATATATATATATATATATATAACCTCTATTTCCCCCTTTGGCCATCTTGAAGATCATTTGGTGCAAAGTGCAGCCTTGCCCTCCTTAAGATTTAAGCTTCTCTAGTTTCTGAGCCACACGTCCGCGAAGATGTGCATACTATTTTGTGCACACTATTTCAAGGTCATCCACGCATTTAGAAAGCCTTAATAACGTCTTGAGATCTTGCCATTCCATTGGCCATACAGCGATGAAGGTCAAAACGAATATTATTGTCGAATTGCTTATACGTGGCGTTAGTGAGCATGATTTCCAGATAAACAACCGTCAATTGGCTCTCAATCAATGTTGTGCAAGGCACGGTGACGCAATCAAACGATGACATATGAATGAACATATTTAGTTAATAGAGACGTTGTACCTTCTAATGCGGTCTTCAGCGCTTAAAAATATACCAGCAGTTATAAGTGAACTTATTTAACCATATGTTATACTCGCTTCACTATCGTCAAATGTGGAAACATTCGCTTTAAGCGAAGTATCCTCTTCTTACGACATCGCACCATCATAGTGCGCCACCCGAGAGCAGATGACGTCATCTGACATTCCTAAATGTTCCGCCCATTCCCTATGTCGTTGATCATATTGAGCTCCTTAGATTGCAACGGCAATTGCGGAGCCTTCGAGAACATCTTTTATCATTTTTGGTCAAAAAGTATTTACAGGATATAAAGCCGTCGGGCATTAGCTCTAAAGCCACCCAGTAGCATTACAATTTGAATTGAGTTGTACACGTCGTCACAGAAACAATATGTCAATGTGTGTTCATTAAAAGGTCTAAACATTATCAACCTAGGAACATGACTGTTTGCACTCCCTAAGAAAGAAGAATCACTAGTGAGTAGTAACGGTAACCGGACATTTCCAAGTCTGCAACCTCATTCTCACATCTCTGTCCCTATCAAACACACCACATGCAATCGTGTTCAGCATCACAGGTTCTCCTGCCCATGAAGCACCGCGGCGATGCGAAAACAGGGATAAAATGGCCAAGTCTGAGGCAAAAAAAAAACTAGGAGACGGCCAGCGCACTGGCGGAACAAATCAACAGGACCTCACCAAACCATTTTGGATTCAGTTACCGAAAGGCTCACTTCTTGTCGGTCCGTTCAACATTCCCCATTCTCCATTCCATCCAACACGATCAATCTCCCTACCCATCCTCTTTTCCCCCTGTGTGCGCCCGTGCGTATGCGCCGTGCCCCCAGGCTGTGTCGGCTCAGCCGGCAGCTGCAGAGCGGGCTCGCAGCCTCACCGGCGGTGGTGCTGAGACCAGAAGGGGAGGATTTGTGCCTGCTACCATAGCCGGGAGGTGAGCTTTCACAGCAATTAATAGTGCAGTAGCCATGGGCTATGTTCTCGACGTGTTCTCGGCTGAAATAACTTTCCGCTGTACGAACTGAGTAACTTATGAGAGGTCGGTCGCGTTCATAGCACCTTTAGCCACTTAAGCGATAATTTCGACAGCAGTTGCATACATAACATTTGTATGTGTGAATATTCTTCGCATTGTTAATAAGTTTTCAGATAGCCCCTCTGGTATCAAAAATCTAGCGTCTTAGAATGACATCGGTATGTCGTTCTTTATGTGGTACTCGAACCAATCATGTCATGCACACGTCAGATAAAAACATGGAGTTCGAAGAGCTTTTTGAGATCGTGCGTCAACTAGCCGCGGTAAATCTTCAGGTATGTGACGCTGGTGCAAAGGTTTCACTTTGTTCATTTTCTGAGGGGGGCCCCCCTAATACTGTTTTGGGCCCTATCAGTGTTCCTCTGTGCCCAGTCCTTCAATGCATATGAGCAAACAAGAAATACTGGGACAATTAAATGCAACGAGTGTCCGACCTGCCGGTACGCTAGGTACCCAGACGCATCACTACCAATAAAGTCATCATTATCATGTATCATCATTGCCACTATTACATCGATCTTAATAAATCACTACCACGACTTCAAATGGAAGTCATTTTTCAACACCAAAACAACCATGAAACCAGTGAAATATTTTTTGAAAGCTTAATTCTGACATTAGAGATGCAAATCAAAACGGCCGAAATCCGACAGGAACCAGAAATTGGGGTATGATGGGTTAGCGTTATTGGCTCGGGCCACTCCTCGAACCCCACCCCACCAATTTGACATATACCTGTATACATACCACCAATACCTGTACTAGTGTGACGCACAAGCGCATTTAACAAATGTGTGGTGGAGCTTCTAGCACTCGCTAGTACAATGGAGTGGTGGAGCCTCTAGTATTCACCACATCACTTAGTCATCTAGTTCATCTGCTCTCCTGTACCATGCACTGGACTATTTGTGCCTAATTCTCGTCGCATTTCGCACGATCTTTGATTTTTTCATCACCATCTTATTCTTCTTCATATTTCCTACCATCTTCTTCATCTTTTTCTGCGTTTTCTTCTTCATCTTTTTCTGCCTTTTCTGTTTCATTTTCTTTATGTTCTTCACGATCTGCAGCATTCAGAGCATTCCGTGATAAGTTATGCACCACAGCGACAATTAATAAGTGCACCACAGCGACAATTAAGAAGTGCACCCGTACACTGGAGTGCACCACCGCGATTCATGGCTTGCGCAGACGGCAGACGGAAGTTCGCACATGAACTGAAAGCAGGGATTCGGATTCGCAGCATTCGAATAGGTTCGAACAGACTAAAATCTTGCGAAGCCCTGAATCCTAAAAAACAATGTCAAACCCTTAGAATTGTGACTGGAACTATGAATATCTGTGTCGAGCCATGCAACCATCATTTTGATGTGCAAATAAGTCACTGATATTTGTTCTAGGCTCAGTATATTTTGTAAATGTACGTGTAACATCCATGTCTGCCCCATCGGTCTGATGCGGTCTGCGCTGAATAATGTTGCATCGATCATTCTAGGCCCAAGTGCTGCTGCTGCCAGTCTTGTCTGTCCCTTCTCTGCCTCCTAAGTTTGTTGTGAGAGCAAAAGTCACACAGCCGTTGTAGCGACTTAAGTAGTCAAGGCGATACACTGGATGATTGGCAAGAGTGGGGCGGACAAAAACCCAGGGGATTCCATCCAACAAGGTGGCCTGCTTTATATCAGGAGGGCCTCCTCGAACAAGACGGATTGTTAAAAAAGCACATCAGCTTTAAATCACTCAGTCCGCCTTCAAAAACTTTGAGGACATCGTTAAGAACTGCGTGGGTATACAGATTACGAATAGTCAGCCAGGAACCACCGAAATCGGCTTGAAATAGTACACGACGTTTGAGTTTCCGGATGTCAGTGCAAACGTTCAAATCTTTTCAAAACTTATTTGAATGTATGGACTTGAATCTCGAATGCAAACCTTAACTGAATGACCACCTAATCTGAATCCCTGCTGTCAGTTCTAAATTGCACCCAAGTCAATATCGCCGCCACCGGGGTGCCTATGTAGTTGGGAACTTCTTTGTTTTCTTACCGCACAATGTGGGATGCGCTTTGCCCAAACCATGCTTTTAGTTACAACTGAGATCAGGATAGCCTGCAAATCACGGCAGGCTCCGCACGACACAAGACTCAAACAGATCAGTAAAATACACGACACGATGTGCAAAAGCTTTTAAAGCCTAAACGCGCGCCCAAAGAGCACGTTTAAAGAGAGGTAAAACCGTGCTAAGTCACACTCGCCGGACCCCGAGCCCGGCGCGCCTTCACCCCGTCACATTAGTAGTGTTTAACTGATCATCGGAGTATGCCATTGCCATTCCCATTAGCATCAGCTTACGCGGGTTGTGAGGATGGGGCCAACTGAAAGCGCAGCGGACGTAATTCAAACTTGGACCTCACGGAGTTACGGCCACCGTTGGCCTCTCTCCCGCAACTGCTCCCACCACGGGGCTCTCTGCAACTGCTCCCACCACGGGGCTCCCCTGCAACTGCTCCCACCACGGGGCTCTCTGCAACTGCTCCCACCACGGGGCTCGCCCACGACAGTCAGTGAACCTCTTGCGGGCCTAGCCGGTCTAGCCAGCCGACATCGATATGTTCTCATGCTGTAAACGACGACTACTTTACTATGTTACGTTGTTCACAAAGTAAGCGCGCATTTGACTTGCCTGTCCTTATGTTTCAGTGATGCCGAGCTATCGTCGGAAACAGAGGAAGTTAGCGCAGGCCCGGGCCAGGCAGAAGCAGCACAACAGCTCGTCATGTCCCGTCACGAGCCAGCCGGGCAAGCCCGTCAGTGCCGAGACGGCCGCGTCTGGTGAGCGAGGTCAATAGTTCCGTGCAGCTACGTTTACGTCTAGCTAATGCGGCACTCCAGTATTGCTCACGATATCTTACAACATCTACAGGAATCAAAACACCCGTGTAGTGGTTGGGAAAGCAGCAGAGCAGTCATTTTGGTTGGAATGCGAATTCTGCGTGGGTATTTTTGAAGCAGGTTTTTACTTACCACCGTTTTACATTTACTCAATATGGAACTTAAACATGAAACGTGCTCGAGCAGTCAATAGTCTATTTTATGGCGTCATTGAAATAAAACTCTCTTAACGTATTTTTGATTTGCTAAAATCTCACCATAGATTTCTGGGTGCTAAAAGGTAACTCATACATTACTGGACGACAACGCTCCTCTCAGACCTCTGCCCTGCACTGCATCATTGGCTTTAAACTTATAGTGAACGAATAGAAGGAAGTGGACGTTAAACAGCCCCTCGGCATATATATATATATATATATATATATATATATATATATATATATATATTGTTTTACTTCTATTCACTTTCTCGGTTACGGCGCTATTCTTACGCTGTTTGATTCTCAATCTCATGTCCATCATAGTTAGCAGAAATGCCCAAATGCCTGTATCATGCATCAGAGAACGCGGTTTGCGATCTGAACCTGCATGCAACGCTTCGAGCTGGTTGATAGCCGACCGCTGTGCGGTGATTCGGCGACTCGTGCTGACGTTCCTCACCCACAAGAAGTAAAATGGCCCTATCTCTCTTGACAGTGAATAACCATGGAGGAGGCGGAATATTTCCCTTGACTTTGACATGGTATGGCTATTGAACGGCTGGAATTCATCTGAAATCTCTTTGGCGCTATACATCTCTGGGTGATCTTAAAATAGGTTGTGCGAAACAATGTGCGAATTCGAGTGTATCTAACTCAGAAACAAGTGGATTAAATGGCATAACTTTGAACAACCTTGATCTTTAAAATGTCTATCTCGGTTCAAAACCTCATGCGCATTTGGAACAGGGACTTTATTGATCAGATATTTATTGGCCCTTGAATACATTATGACCAATGTGGAGGCTGAAGAGCGTTTTCCACATCTCTGAGTGACTTTAGATTATGCGGTTCCAAAAAAGTCTGCATTAGTCAGTACAAGCTCTATCTTTCTTAGATAAGATATTGCAGGGGTCACATCTATCCCCCTCAGTCCGCCTTATGAAAAACAACGAATCAAGGTGTGAGCTTAACTTGTCTCTCTGCCGGAACGGTACGCAACCAGCTTGATAAAAAACAAGAAAAGCTTAATTGGCGGATCAACTTTCTCCTGTTCCGTGACTTATGCTCCATGTTTCAGACAAAGCAGAGGACACGATCTCCACCTCTTCCAGTCCGTCCAAGATCGACGCATTTCACTATTCCCCAACCTCGGGAACGTCTGACTACTTCGTAAGAAACCGTAGGGATCAAAGCATCGCTTTGGCGGCACAGCTTAGATTGCCACATCTATTTGAGGTAGCCCTGGCTCCTATCGGCCCTGGACGATATTATACCACCCTTATTATACCACCCTTGTTGGCGTCCACTTCGCTGCTAGCCACCATTCCATGATTCGGACCAGGGTTGAATGATGGAATCTCGTGGACATAAAAAGCTTTACGTCCCATTTGATATATTTCTGTTGGCTTCATGTATCAGCCCCTACACGGCTCAATTAACTGCAATTCCGAACGAGCACGAACTGATACTTGCCTACAGCATGCATGCCCGCGCGTTGTTCTGAGCTTTGTGCGCTCCCCAGAATAACCACACATGTTGTATTGCACGCGATCAGAACGCACATGCAGCGAACATGAAGCATATCAGTAAAAACCGATCCCCGGATGACTTGAAAAGTCCTTGCGTGTTTCGTATGCCGGTCCTTACCACACTGACGTTACTAATTTGAACGAAATGCTTCATAGCATCACAAACTGAGGCCTCGGTACTATCACGATAATGATGCGATGGCGTGACCTTCATACCACCACTGCACCGGGCTCTCAATCCATTTCGGCATGGGTGGGGGCTCTCCGGTTCTTCTGCCAAATAAAAGGACATCTTGCAACGCAACGACTTTTCCGGTCTTTTACGTTTGAACATTGTGTCAAATTTTCAACATTTTACATCGAGGGCACGTATTTAGGAAAAAATCTTCAAAGGCACGTCTGGTCATTTTCGCGTTTGATACACACGTGAACCGAAGTCAAATCAAGTGAATCACCCTTGTTAAGTGTTTTGCAACGTAATGACCCGTAGTATTTGTACGGTTGCTGTACGTGTAAAATATAATGATATAAATGTCCTAGGCATATACAGAGTGGGGGAGATAAGCTATTTTATAAAAGTGATAAGTTACGATCTTTCATGAAGGGAATTTCATAGATTTAAATCACCTTAATCATTTTGAGGACCTATCGATTGCTGAAGCATCTTTTAACTATTGTAAATAGAACATGTCCCAATGCCCCTCCCTCCCGTTGACGTGTTAGTAAATACGTGCAAAAGCTGCGCGTCTTTCGTGTCCGAGCTCGGAGAATCACGAACCAGACCGGAAACTCCCAAAAAGGTAGAAAATCCCTGTTTATGTCATCCCTTTCTAGAGCGCCTGGGAGAGACATTCATTTCGCTCGGACGGTATCTATGACACGTACCCTTAACACGCGCTCGGATGGGGGGGGGGGTCAAATCGACCACCCCGCAGGTTTTTCCGGACTGGTTTCCGAACGGCGCGACGTAGCTGCGCCAAAAGTTGCATAGGTCTAGATAACTGAATACTGGATCGTTTGACATAACAAATTTAGATGCACCTTGTAAGGTCGCTGACCTATGGCAGGTCAAAGTCAGGCCATGGTTTCAGCGAAGGCAATTTCTAGGGAATCGTCCAATCTGATACAATAACGGAGTGTTTGACGAAGCCATACCTTTATGAGATGCTTTCTTAGGCACCACAAATTTTCAATGAGCAAATTGCGTTCACCTAAGGTCAGGTATGAAGGTCAGAACAAAGTCAAAACTAACCTGATTTATCACTCTCGGGCTTGCTGTATGGGGTAGTTTGTGGTGCTCATTTCAAGTTTGTTGACAGCAGGAATCACATTGCACATCTTCCATTGAGTTCTTAGAGGTCAGAACAGGTCATTGACCAAAGATGACTCGGATCGACATTTTGTTTGAGGAAGATACCGCCTAGCGTAACTTTTGTCGCTTATTCAAATGCAAAACTCAGAGCAGTCTTGTATGATTCTGGTCATCACTACCTTCAAAAAGTCAAACAAGGTCACTGACCTCAAATGGGCTTGTGACATTTTGCTTAGAAACGGTTGCCTAGGTCCTGGGGGCTCTTTAGAGACCAACCTCGAATTTGACCTTGTTTGATCTTATTTGATCTGAAGGTCATGACCTAGGAGACTCAAACTTTGACCTAAGTGAGCTCACGTGCAGGTCAAGACAAGCTGTAATTTAGTGTGTTTGGCTCTCTTAGTTCCCGAGATCTCAGGGGGTCAAATTGACCCCCACCCAAGCGAAGGGTATCTAGCCGACCAACCGGGCGCGTGTCAAATCTCATACCATCACATTCCGAGGGGTGCCAGTAGTGTACTGGTTAATGCATATGCGTTAACCAATGCGCGTCTGGAAAACCAGAGGTACGGGGTTCGGCTCCCTGCGGTGCCCGCCCTTCCTGCCAGGGTGAGAGGCAGGCGATGGCATTTAGACTCGGCAGCTGAGTGCGTCGTAAAGCTCCAATGACACTGCCATTATATTACGAATGACACTTAGATCTTTATCGCGATCAAACAATGTGTCCTCAGCAAGGACAGGAACTTTCCTTTGTTTTGCCTATCGCCAATCACGACATTCTGGACTTCGTGCCATTTTATACACATAAATGCGGTTTGTATTTCATGCAATCAAACGTCTTTTTCTCAGGGGCAAATCGATCAAACGATTCTCAGGATGCATGAGAAGGGATTAAGCCCCACCAATTTGTTTTTATTTCGTGAGTACTTCAATAAGTTTAACGCTCTGTTCACGCAAAATCGGCCTTGAACTCAATTTGGCATTAACACGCTCTTCCCCGCCTTGGAATTTTTCCACTTAGGGGACACTCCTAATTGGAAAATTCCTTTCCATGATTGGCAACTAAAAGTCATATAGCTATGTAAACTTATTCCTATATGTAACTACATTTATAATACGTAACGCAAATACTTCAATTTTTTAAAATTTCTAAGCCATTGCCCAAGAACAGGTAACCAGGAGTGCCCCTCCCTCAATCCCAGCGACGCAGTAAGCCGTACGTTAACACCAGAAAACATAAAATCAAGTCGCGGCACTTCCAGCTAAGAAGATGAAACAAACGTAAAAAAGGCAGGCGAAGAGGTGGTGCAGACCCGAAGGAATTGTGTTATGTGATAGGTAGGGAAAAATCATAGAAGAGAAGGCTTAAAGTAATCATTAGCCAAAGTCAGCTAATGACAGCCCGCTATAACCGCCCAATACGCTACAACCACTTAATTCACCGTGTTAGTAAGGGCTATGCAGTCACACTAGTCGGATGGGGCAATTACCTGGTCATTTTTGTGCCGGGTTTTGAGCTAGCTGGATGTCCAAGGAGTCCACCCAGCTAAGCAGAGCTTGTTGCTGGGAGAACTCCCGGAGCCAGCGCCGTGAATTTGTGTATGTGTGCATGACTTTATATCAGAAATTGATTATGAAACATGAATGTCGAATATGAATAAATATGAAGTGCTTTGGATATGAACAGCACAAAGGATTGCAACGTCTTCAAATATGTTGGTTACGTTAATATGTACTCACGAAATGTTTGCGGATGATGTTCTCAACGATGGTTTTTGATATAGGGATATCAGTTATTCTTGGAAAATATGAAACCATAATGTCGTTCCGCAGCTTAGGGCCAAGGCAAGATGCTGTAAATAGACTATAATTACGATTAGAGAAAGGTTGGTCTAAATGTTTTGCTCGCCTCATATCCATGTCATTGGATTCGTAGAGCTTGTAAATTAAATCGAATGATGCAGGGAGCTGCGAAGTTAAAAATTTGTGCATCACAATAAACATTTGGGATTTAGCAATATCCGATAATTTCAAAATTTTGTGTCGTTTAAAGATTGGCTCTGAGCTTGGTGGAGGACACACATTTTCTATAAGACGCACAGTCACTTTTTGCAAAATTACTAACCGATCTAGTTGAGAGGCATAATTTATGCCTCAAATCAAGCAGCAGTAATTTAAATAGGGAAGAATCAAAGTGTTATACAGTAGATGTGACGTTGTTTTATCAATAAAGTACCCAACCCTACTTATTCCAATATTTCTACATTATGGTTGCAACAAAATTAGTGTGGCTTGTAAATTTAAGAGATTTGTCAATGATTACACCAAGGTATTTTTTTCTTTTTCCTCTTCAATAGGTGAATAATTAATTTGTACATTTAATTGGAAATGCGAAGAAGGGGTAGTGTAATGCTGTGTGAATGTTTTTGATACGTTCAGGGAAAGAAAATTAGCAGCAAACCAGGAAGCCATTAGAAGCAAATGCGTATTGACATTGTTTTGAAGTTCAACAATACTATCATTTTTGAAAACAATCGCAGTATCACCAGCGTAAGACAGACAAATCATGTTACTGTTTAATTTAGGTAAGTCATTTGTGTACATTAAAAGGAGAATTGAGCCGAAAATGGATCCCTGGAGTACCTCCATTGTTACGTTTTTCATTGTTGATAGATAACTCCTGATTTTTACACATTGAGCTCTGCCAGACAAATATGAAAATATGATTTCATGAGATTTTCGTCGAAAACCATATTTAGTAAGTTTAAGTAGAAGAAGATATATGTTTACGGTGTGAAAGGCTTTTTTCAAATCTAAATACAAACCTAATACATATTCCCCGTTTTCAAAAGCTGTCTTGAACTCAATTTGACATTAACACTGTCTTCCCCGCCATGAAATTTTTTCCACTTAGGGGACACTCATAAGTGGAAAATTCCTTTCCATGATTGGCAACTAAAAGCCATATAGCTATGTAAATGTATACCTATATGCAACTACATTTATAATACGCAACGCAAATACTTCAATATCACAATTACCAAACCAATTTAAATGACAGCATTAAATAGCAAAAGGTCGTCGAGAAACATACTCGTCGTAGGAGCAAATATAGCAACTGCAACTAGTTACTCTTCTCGGAATGTACATATGATCTTTCCTTTCTCTTCCTAGAGCGAAGTGGCTATCCCGTGACCATGTTTCACAGCGCATTTGGCTGTCAGAGAGCTTGTGCACAGTGCACCAGTCAAGAACTTCATGCTGCACGCTCTGGTCACGCGTGGCATAGACATGTGACCTATTGGGGCTGCCACATAGCAAAAGATCAA